AATTACACCTCTGGTTCACCTCTCTTCTGGTAATGGAGGGATTAGGCTTTGCTGCTGAAGCAAATGTTCTGTCTGAAGTTGAAGGTCTCCTTCTAGTCCTTTGGTGATGAAATCTGAAATTGTAGTCATAAACTTGTAAATTCTTGTCTGAGGTTTCTCTTGGTTCCTTTTAGGAAGGTGTGTTATGGCAAGGAAGCCACATAGTGTTAATTTAATTTTCTCTGTAGCTTTTGAGCTCTATTGCATATTTAAATAGTCACATGGCATCTTAGGCTGTGCCTCTTTGTAGAGCTCTTCAAGACTTCTTGAAGCAAATGGCATACCCAGACCATCCCCTGTCTCAACAACCTGAAGTCATTAACTTTCTGCAGCAGTGTAAACTCTCTTTCTATGAATGTTTTTGTAGCCTGATTCTCTTCTGTGTATGCATAATAAATTCCTGGTACCTTTTTTGTACTCAAAGGCTGCAATAATTTTCTTGTTGCTTGTCTGAAATATTCTCCCTAACTACAGTTACCTGTAGTGTCATCACATGAATAAATAAAAAGAATTGGTTTTGACTCTGCATTTTACTGCTTACCCAGCAGTAGCTGAAAGGCTTTTACAGCTGTTGCCTTCCAGATGTAATCCTGACCCTGTGGTCTGTTTCCTTGACATACATTCAGCTGTTAGTTTGTGTCTCCTGCTGCCAGTTACATCTGTCTTCAGATGAAGAGGAAGTTGAGATAGACAGTCAAATTGTCTGCCAACATTCCCCAGGTGGTTTTGCCTTAATTTCCAGTTAGCCTTTGATCTCTGGCTCATGGTGCTGCTGTTCTGGGGTGTCCTGCAAGCCATGACCTCTTCCTAGAGTCTGCAGGGTCTCCTGCCATTGACTTTGGTATAATAGTGTTCCCAGGAGAGCAGAAGGTGCCTGACCTCAGCCTGTGCTATAGTTTGTTCAAATTAGTGGATACTTGTGTGACTTGTCCCACCACCCTCATGGGACATCATCCTGCCTTGGCCTGAACCCACTCCCATGTTGGCCTCAGTTGTCTGCTGTGACTTCTGGGACTTGAGGGTCACCATGGAGGGCAGAGGACAGTGAGGACAGCCTGGACCTGTGCAGTGGATGTCAGGGGAACCTTGTGCCTTATGTTGCTGCCAGGATGGATGAGGTCGAGGAACAGTGTCAGGGATTTTCTGAGGCTTCCTTCATCCTGTTGGCACTGAGCAATCCTCAGTTTGACTCCTCTCTGAAGTGGAGCACTGAAGCAACTTAACACCACGGGGAAGTACTTTAACTCCTAGTGAGAACAACCTACATCACTTCACTCTTCTGCCTCCCAGGCACAGTAAAAAGGGTAGATCTGAAGTGCTGTGAAGCTGCTGCAGTGCTGCTCTGCAGAGTGCTGCCATCCTTCATCCCCTTCACCTCCTGAGCTGGGTGCTGGGTGGGCTCTGGCTTCCATGGTTGCCCGAGGTGCTTTTGCTTTCCTGTGTCACATTAAAGCCATGCAAATAGTTTCTATAGCAACAGGTGTCTTTGCTTAGCTCTGACGCAAAATCCTGAAAGGTCTTTCTCATTTTGTCTTCCTCCAATTCTGATTTTAACTCTGTTTGAAGATAAAGGGCAAAAAATTAATTCTACTCTGTTTCAAAATTAATTCTCCTTTGTTTCAAGAGTTAACTTGCATCACAGGTGACTGTTCACTTTTAAGAGCCCACAGAAGTTTCCACACTGGGAACTGAACTTTGAGCTGAAGGAAAAATCAGCTGGAATAATCTTAGAGAGCATCTTGACTGTATGAAACATGGAATCAAGCCAGTGAAGTGTGGCCTTAGTAGGTAGAGTGAAAGAACAGGGAAAAAGGCATCAATTTGTCCCCAGCTTTGCTTCTGGCCTGGTTAATCTGAGGCTTTGTTTCCCCTGGTCCTTTTAGCTCTGAATTCTCCAGACATGTGCTGCAGGATACAGGCTGAGCTTGTCAGGGCCCTGTGTGATGCTGTTGCAAAAGGAATGACTGAAAAAAACTATAACAAAAGGCAGACAAAGTTAGATAAAATGGTATTGCCTCCCTGCACAAGGCGTTTGAGTCTCTGCCAGAGAAGTCTCTCCTGTGTAATTACTGCAAACAAGTGCTGCAGTGGGACACAGCACAGCATCTTGTCACAGCTGCTTCTCCCTAACTCTGCTTTTGTCAACACAAGGCTTGGATTGCAGAGGGAGAGGGAGAGGGATAGGCAGGCTTCAAGCTATGCTTGTTTTCAGAAGAGGCTTGTGAAGTGTGACTGGAAGGACTGGAGCCGGATGGGGGTGACTGGGGCTCTCAGCACTGTGGCTGTTTACTCACCTAGTGGCCTCCAGTCTCACATTTTGGTGTACCTTTGTCTCCCTGTATCATCTGGCAGTTGTGGAGGGGTTATTAGAGGGGCTAACCCTAGGCTGGTCTCTTCCTTTGTGGGTCCTGGCCCTCCTCAAGGAGTAACTGGTGCTGACAAAATCAGCAGGCCCTGCTGCAGGCACAGCTGCACAGGTTAAACAGCTGAGCAAGTATCATCTGTCATCTGGCTACAACTTGCTGCTAATATTAAGTAAATCTGAGATGCACAATTAACATGGCCTGTATAAATGAGCAGTGGGAAGCATCCCACAGCTCTGTGTATGTTCTTGATGTACAGATCTGTTTGCTTGGACACTTCTAAAACTCCCTTGGCTGTGAGAGGGCACTGACCACACTGCAGTAACTGCTCTGTAAGAGGGGATGTGCAGGAAGGATGGATGACCTTTGTGTTCCTGTTTGATTGCTTTGGCCATGAGAAGGATCAAGGATGCATTTGATCTCTGGAGTTGCCTGTATGGTACTTCTCAGGTCACTTCAACTTGTTTTTGATTGAGCTGTAAAATACAACTAACAGCTGTCCCCACGGCACAACACAGCTCTGCAGCATTCCCATGATCGAGTTGGGTTCTTTGTCTAAAGTTTGTAAGGATCTGTTAATAGATGTTTTATACACTGGTAAGTGTGTGTATGCATATATATGAAGCTTCATGGCTGAAGTAGCTTTGGCCTTACTCTGCATCACACATTGCCACAACTCTTAATGAGAATTTGGCCATTTCTGGTGGTTCTGAACCGTCTGCTTTGTGCTGACGTAAATCCATATCTGACATCAGGCTCTGATATGCTCCTGGCAGGGCTGGTGTGAGCTGAGCTGGTGGTCTAATATCAGCAGCAGTCACTCTGGAGATGCTTCGTGGATCTGTTTGGATTTTGTTTTAATAACCCTGGGCATAGTAGCAGGTTTTGTGAACCACTGTTTGCCTTTCTGCTGTAGAAATGGCACATCTGCAGAGTGCTGAGTGAGGGAGCTGAGGACCCAGACAGCTGCTCTGAGCCTGTTTGGAGCCTCTGATTCAGATTCTGCTTGTTCCTGTCTGAATTCATAGTTGCACAAGTGCATGATGCTCCCCATGTAAGCAAACCCCTCTCCAGCAGTGTTGGATGTAAACTAGACTCTGAAATGTGAAGAACAAAATCATGTGCCTTTACACAGTTGTTTCCTGGCCTCTTTCATGTCTTCTACTCCTGCTCTCTGACCCGATCCAAAGCCTTCTGGGGTTCAGCCTTGCTGCCTTGCAGGTTTCCAGCCCTTCTCAGGAAAGAACATTCATTGCAGGCAGAACATCTTGCTCACAGTTTCCAGGGTTACCTGTGTAGGGCTGATAGCAAGCAGGAAATTAAAATGCTCCATGATGATGATACGTTATCGACAGCAGATGGTGGCCATTAGGTGTACGTGCCTGTCAGGGGGAGGCAGAAAGGCAAGTAGAGCAGACACAACTATTAGATTTGTGTAATCACTGCTGCAGGTGCTAAGCTCCACAGTGCATGGTGTAGGGCAGTCCCTGAGTGCACTGGTTCCCCTTCTGGCCATGGTGTATGTGACTCTGGTTTCCTGGAAGTAACTCCAAGGAGTCAGTGTGCCTTCAAGCTAAGTTGTTTGCAGAGTTCCTTGTCATTATCAGCCTGTCTGTACAGCTAGTTCTCTCTTGCAGTTTTCTCTCCCTAATCTCTCATACACAGATTTTCTATCTTGTCCTTCAAAAGTCTTGGTTTCTTAACTGGAGACCATTCTACTTTTAAACTCTCTGAGCATGGTCCAGTTGCCTGCAATCTTTGTGAAGACTATAGGGATGAGCTGTACCCTGTGTCAGGATTGTTTAAGGACTTGTCATGGGTTGCTAAATCTGGAAAATCAACTGAGGGTCTGTTCTGCTGAGCTCTGAGACTAGCAAAGTGTCATGCTATGTGTTCCCCTTCTTACTGAGCTGTCTCTTCTTCCTTCTGTCTTTGTGGGTTTCTCCACCTCAGTTTTCTGCTAACTCTGAGGTGCAGAATTGGGCTGGAGTGTGCATGTGCCTGCTTTGAGCTAGGACATCAAATCTCTCCCGAGTCTGTGGACACAGATCTGTCTCTGACTTCTGTGTGTGCCTAAGCAGCTGCTGGCTGGTGTGCTTCAGGATGAAATAAGAGCATCCCATTTGCATGAAAAGCCTCCTTGGGGATAGTGATGTTGGTGTTGAAGTGTTTGAAGAAACCACTGTGATGGCTTAGCTTTCTCTGACCTCGGGCTTGGCTTTGCTTGAGTATGTGGAAATGGAAGCTCACTTTGAGGTGTACTCTCCTCAGCACTGACTTCATCAGCTGTAGTCTTAATTACTCTTAAGATGTCAGTAATTCTGCAAAGACTAGACCTGTTCTGACCTATATTCAAGCTATAAGCACTACAGGTGCCTTCTGGTGCAGCACATAGGGAATCTGATGTAGCACTGTGACAATAGTGTGATTGTATGCAAACCAAAATGTACTTGTGATGTTACTCCTTACTTGCCTCCCATATTAACCCTGAAATGTGCAGCCCTGAGAGTTCTGCCCTTGCTGCAAGCTTTCTCAGGTGCTGGCTGGAAGAATCTGCTGTGCTTCTGTGTTTATTTTTAATGCCAATGTTTGATTTCAGATATTCTCAATGACGCTATCTTTGACGAAGATCACGATGAGATGGTAATTGTGAAGGACATAGACATGTTCTCATTGTGTGAGCATCACCTCGTTCCATTTGTTGGAAAGGTAAATCTTCCTCACAAAACCAACGTGGGAATGCACAGTAAAAGACCTGAAGTACATGTAAAAGACTCCGTGGCTGTAACTACAAAGCTTTTAAAGCTCTAAGTATTTATTGCTTACGGCTATGGTTCTAGAAGTTAATCTTCAGAATACAAATAAGGAAGACCTCCTTAATGTGAGTTTTATTTGAATTTAAGCTCCTGAAATATAACACTCAACCTTTCCTACTCTGTGTAATCTAATGGTTTCTGACATCTCATATCAAAGCTCTTCTTCATGAAGCAGCAGCAAGCCTTGAGGGCAGACGTGTTGATATTAAACCAGCTCACCCTGCACTGGCTCTGGCATGGATTTAGCTCCTGGCTCAGAGCTATCTAATGCACATCCATCTCTGAAACCCTCTGTGAGTGGAGCAAACTGCTCGTTAGCAGCCCTGTCCTAATTACGTGAGCCGAGTCAGGGAGAGGGTGGCCAAAACTGACTAGCAGGAGGTTGGGACTCCCATGGAAGGGGCTGATGCTGCAGAGGGTGTTGGAACTGTAATGCCAACAACTTTAAAAAGGAAATAAAGATTCTCAAGTTAACTACTGCAAACGTGATGAAGAGTTCTGTGTGGGAAGTCCCTGCTGCACATCGCAGCCTCTTCGCTCCCTTATCAGCACAGAAGGATGGAGCTTACTCTGATCCATCTGTTCTACCAGAAAGTACTCACAGGCCCAAGAGTAGCAAGTGCTTGTGTTGTCTGTAAAATTCAATCAGTGCCACATATGTTCCAAGTAAACTGTCTCCCAAAAATAAAACACCCGAGCAGAAACCAGCCACTTATTTGAGTCAACTCAGTTTCATCTGCTTTCTTTGTTCTGGAAAACTTCTTTTTCTGTGCAAGCTTTCTGTTGTGCCTGTTCTTGGTGACACATAGTGTGTGTATTCTTCCTGTTACTCCTGTGGCAATGTGTGCATTCTCTTTACATCCAGCTGTTTAGCCTGTGTGGTGTGGAGAAATCTCCTGGCAAACACCAGCTAAATGACCTGGTATGCCTCTAGATATTCTCAGACTAATCCTTCTCCTGTTGGGTACATCAAACAGGCTGCAAACACTGACCAGCAAGACTTGTGTTTGCAGTTCCATTGTAAAGGAAATTCAGAACTTTACAAAAACATTTGGAACAGGATTCAATGCTTATTTTTAAGTCATGCCTCTCACTTTGAAATGTTTCCTGTCTTTTCAGGCATCAGTGAGTTGATTACCCAACAGAAGTGATAGGAGTGAGCAAGTTAGCCAGGTAATCAGGTGCACTGTGGTACCTCCAACTGCAGGTGCACCAGCATAGGATTCTGAGCTGGGGCCTGTAGGCAAAGCACTGAGACAAAATCCCTCATTGACACTTCCCTGCTGTATCTTGGCTGATTTTTCAAGTCTCTGGTACAGTGGTACAAATGCTGGTTTATGATCTCTTAGAGCTGTAAACCTACTTGAATTCAGTAGCCTGTGTGGCTTTCTAAGAATAAAGAGCTAAATGCCTTTCCCCATCTTTGTATCTGAGCACTTTTCTGCTAAACTTGTTCAATGAAGTGCAACTACCTGTTCAGTATGAGTGTTTAGCAAAACCATATTTGAGCAGGATGGAAGTGGAGTTAAGCAGCAGTGATCTATGGCATTACCAAAGCAGAATAAATAAATCAGTAAGTGCAGCCTGATTTTGGTGGCAAAATACTTCTTGCCATTAGAACTTTTACTGGAAGTAGAGTCCTTTTCCCTTCCACTCCCTAAATCCATTTTAGATCTTGAAAGGAAAGCATGTTTATTTTAGACACATAGTGCTGTGCTGAGTGATAAATTGCTCTTTGTACCCAAATGTAGCAGTACTCTGTAGCCTTCCTGAGACTTGGAACATAAGCCTTGACTCTTGAAGAGTTGTGATTTTTCTCCCTCTCAGAAAACTCACCTATTCTTCACCAGGACACCAACCTCACCAGGCATCCATGGTCTCTGTTAGCTCCACAATTTTCCAGGCTTGCATGGTGGCATGTTCCTCCCACGTGCTAAGGCTTTTGGACTGTTCCAGAGCTAGTTCTGGAGCAAGTGCACATCTCATTGTCTATGCATGAGTTTCATATGCATCTAGAAGTGTGGGTTTGATGCTGTTAATGGTTGTTCTCCTCTGTCCAGGTACACATTGGCTATCTTCCCAACAAGCAAGTGCTTGGCCTCAGCAAGCTTGCCAGGTAAGTGTTTGTCTAATGAAAGTGATGCTAATTTGCAAAAAGGATTCCAGGCTGTGCTAACTGTCCTAATCTTTTTAATCTGGTCTCCCTCTAAAGCTCAACCCTTGTGTGTCCTGGATTTGGATTTAGACCAAACCTCAGCATTGTTTTTTTGAGGAGAGGACAGATAAGTCTTAGAGCTCTGTGTTAACTCACACCAGTAAGGCTGTAACACTTCTCACTGTTCCCCCAAAAGTGTTGGTGTCTGCAGGGAGCACTGAGGCAAAGAACAAGAGGATTTGGTCATGTTCTAAGGCAAGGCACAAAAATACCAGGGGATCTCCAGCTCTTTACTGTTTGTGTGTACATTGACTGATAAGAACAAAAATCCCAGACTTCCAAATTGTAAATGAACACGTTCTATGGATATAAATTGAATCTAAAGCTTTCATCTGAGCTGACTCTTCAGATAAATTTGGCATTTCTTTCATTCACTGGAGACCTGCTGAGCAGTCTGGGGTAGATTTTATAGATAAGGTTCAGCCTAAGAAACAAAGCAATTGTGATACACTTGAGAAATCCATTTGTTATGTAAAAAAGCTTTTTTCCTCAGCAAGTGCCCTTGGATCAGTTGTTGCACTGAATCTTGTTTAAAAGTGACACTTTCTAGTTCTGGTGAGGAAAGGGATGGTAGATGCCTTCAATAAGCAGATTACTGGGGACCAGTGTGGAAGGGTCTCTTGAGAAACAAATCAAAAATTTGGCTGTAGTTCAGCAAGACCATGTAGGTTCTGCTTCTGCTTTCTCTGATAGGTCTGTTAATCCTGCTGTAGTTCCAATAACACTAATGAGAATTAGCCTTGTAAATCTCCATGCCCACTGGGCTTTCCTAGCGGGTAAGGAATGTGTAGGACATGACAGAAAATGTTCTGAAGTCATTCAGCTCTGTTCTGTGCTCTGCCTGCACAACAGTGACTCGGGTTTGGAAGTGGAAAGGCCCTTGGAGGTCACATCTTTACTAGCACAACCTCATACTACAGGGAGGCATCTTGATATCTTCAGCAGTGCTGGCAGGAGTGAACTTTGCTCTGATTAAAAGGCTGAAACAGGCTGTTTGACATGGAAATCTTTTCCTGGATTCTTCCTGTGGCAGTACCTAAGTGCTGGAATTGTAGGCTGAGGCGCTGAGCTGCAGAACCAAACTGGTTCTGAGCTGCAGACCAGCACTGCATTTGCTGCAAGAAAGACTTTGCTTTCTGTAGCTACTCCTGCTTGGGGATGTGTCTGTGTGGCAGTTCATGGTTTGTGCTGTGTGTTGGCTGCCTCTTTAGGTGGTACAGGGTTTTTGTTGGGCTGGATTTCTGAAGGAAACATCCTTCCTAAAGAGACTGTCTTTGCTTCTGTTGCTTTGCTTTGTCTGACATTGCTTCATTTCTGCAGGGCTTGGTTGCAGGATTAAGGATCGCATTCGAAATATGCATCTGTTGGTTTGTGCTTGCTCTAGTCTCTAGTTACCTCTCCATTGCAGATGTAAAGAAGGAGCTCAAAACAACTTTCAGTGATTTTTCTAATGCAAGTGACCACAGGGTGCTGGAACTGTACAATTTTCCTGATGGAGAAATCTGCATCAATATGTACAAGGTTTCTGGTGCTGTGCTTGAAAGGTTAAAATCTTGCCTCTCTTTCAAGTCAGGGTAAAACACTGCTATACTGCAACAATGAAAAGATTAGATTCTTGTATAACCAAATGTTCTCAGTCCTCACTTTTGAGTGCTTCCCATGAAGAGGTTGGTGGGCCAAGCTGTGCCTCCCTTTCGTGCCCTGTATAATGCACCCAGTGTTCAAGCACAGATTTGTGAGGCTACTGGTACTGTAGGCCTAATCTTTCCTAATAGGATTAGTCTAATGTGGTGAGTTTCTGGAGTTGTGGATGACCTGTATTCGGTCAACAAACATCTTTCTCTGGATTTTAAGCTCAGGCTTGAAAATGCTCTTGCAAATAACTGTTTTTACATAAACATGCTCTTAGGACTTACATACAACACCAGTGTAAGAATATCTGAGCATCGGCATGTTTCCTATCCATATATTTGGTCTAAATATTATGCTGCTTTGTTTAGAATAGCTGTAACACAACCACTTCATTGCTGGAGGGAGTTTCTGCAGTTAATTCTCTCTCCAGAGCAGCAGGAGAGTCTCATTGTCAGAGCTGCTCCTTGTAACTAGTGCCTCAGGCTGCCAGCCAGCGTCTGGTTTTTGTCTGGTGTGGCCAGAGAGGTAGCAAAGCTTGCTATAGCAGTTCCTTCATGTGGCCACTTGATATGTAATTAAGCATTTGAGGTTGTGTGCTGGCTTGAACTGGAGTAGAGTTAACTTTCTTCATAGAGGCTAGTGTGAGGCTATGTTTGGGTTTTGTGCAGAACACAGAGTTGATAATGCAGAGATGTTTTTGTTATTGCTGAGCAGAGCTTACACAGAGTCAAGGCCTTTGCTGCTTTCTGTACTGCCACACTGGTGAGGAAGTTGGGGATGCATGGGAGATTGGGAGGAGACACAGCTGGGACAGGTGACCCAAACTGACCAAAGGGATATTCCATCCCCTTTGACATCATGCTCAGTATATAAAGTGGGAGGAAGAAGGAGGAAGGGGGGACATCTGGAGTGATGGAGTTTGTCTTCCCAAGGAACCGTTACGCGTGATGGGCCCTGCTCTCCTGGAGATGGCTGAACACCTCCTGTCTTCAGGAAGCAGTGAATTAATTCCTTGTTTTGCTTTGCTTGTGTGTGCAGCTTTTGCTTTCTCTATTAAACTGTCTTTATCTCAACCCATGAGTTTTTGTAGCTTTTACCCTTCTGATTCACTCCCCCATCCCATTGGTGGGGGAGTGAGTGAGAGGCTGTGTGGGTCTTGGCTGCTGCTGGGGTTAAACCACGACAGGTTGGCCTGGAGTTGCAGAGCAGTTAGACTTCTCTTAAATGTGTGCATCCCATAACCACATCGATAAGTGATAGTGGTCCCCCTTGCATTGCTCCCCAATGGCTTAAATTCAGTCATGTTTAAAGGGAACATTTAGCTGATCCCTGCACTCAAATGTGAAGGATGGGGTGAGATTTGGGTGGAGAGTATCTGTTTTTATTTAAAACAATTCTGTCTCATTGTTCTTAGTTAAATTTGTGGTTGGATACAAGAATCCAAACCATCTCTTGCTTAATTAAAGTAGCCTTCTAGGAATCCAGTATCTGAATTGTCCCTAAAGCAAGCAGCTTTGGTTTAGATTGAAGCACCAGGAGGTGTTTCTGACCTCAGTTCAGGGATTAGCTTTCAGGGAGTCTTCAGGCATGGATTCCCTCACAACTGTGTGAGGCAGGTGGGTGGGACAAGGAATTCAATATATCAGCCAACAGAAGGAGCTCAAAGGAGAAGTGAAAGGTTTGTCCCCCAGGGCTGCAGGTGGGGGAACCTGTCACTAAACACAGTGGTGTGCCCAGGGAAGTCCTGGGGCAATGCCAGCAGGGGCTGGGCAGCAGCATGGCATTGCATGGATTCCAGGAAGGACATGGATCAGTACAGTGGTCTTGTTGATAGAATCAATTAGTTGTGAAGATCACACAGTGGTCAGATGGGAATAACTAACACTGTCTTTTTCCTTTCTCCTTTAGGATCGTGGAAATATACAGTAGAAGATTACAAGGTAAAGAGATAAAACTTTGAGCTTGTTCTGATTACTCCTAGCCAGTGCAGGGAACTGGGAATTTTGGGTGGATAGTAGCTGCACAGATGTTAGTATGAAGATAAATACTGTGTTCTTGAGCAGGTGTTTCTCAGCTGTCATCATGCTTAGCCTCTGCCTTCCCAGTGAAGGTTAACACCAGCCCCTTAAACTAGATGCAGCAGTAACTGATTCAGTGATAAATGTGCTACAAGGTACAGCTGCCAGGAATAACTCAACTAGTTGGATGCTGCAGGGAATGAACTCTCCTACAGAGATTTGGAGAGATGTCTTCAAGAATTCTTGTCTGAGGCAATGAAGCAAGAACTGCCGTGTTCCAGCCTGCCTGCTGCCCCTGAGGAGGGGAGGAAGCTGCAGGATCCGATGCCTTGCGTTGGGCTCAGCCTGTTCCCATTGTCCTGCAGTTAAATTTGGCCTGTTCTGGGGGACAGAAGTCTTAGTGACCATCAGACTGGTGAACAGAGGGTGCTTAGAGCTGCAGGAAGTAAAGCTTTGCAGGACAATGGACTCTTAATTTGCTCATTTTTTATCTCTATTTCCTTAAAACAGAAATTGTGTATGGGGAATAAAATTGTGCAGCAGTAAAATTGGGAACAAACACATAAAACCTGAAAGAAAACAGAAAAGCAAGAAAATCCAACTGCATAATTGGAAATGAAAGAGCTGTTAGAGCAAATCCTGCAAATGTGGAATACAAAATGAATCCTGATATAAACAACCAAATAAAAGGTCTGTTTCAGGATACAAAGCATAGGACAGCTGGGGCTTGGAGCAACCTGGTCTAGTGGAAGATGTCCCTGCCCGTGGCAAGGGGTGAAACTTAGATGGTCTATAAGGTCTCTTCCAACCCAAATTGTGGGATTCTGAGCTGCCTGCTGTTCTCTCAGTCCAGGAACGCCTTACCAAACAAATTGCAATCGCCATCACAGAAGCCTTACAGCCTGCTGGAGTCGGAGTCGTCGTGGAAGCTACGTGAGTGACTCTGAGCTGTTCCCTGGCTGGGCATGGGCTGTGTGTGCTCCCAGCTGTGTGTGCTCCCAGCTGTGTGCTGCAGAGCTGCTGCGTGTTGCCTCTGGCTGCAGTAGCTCTGTGCCATACTTGGTGAGGAGGCAGAAAGCATAATAATAAATAGTAACACTACAGAGTGATAATCCTGGCCCAGCCAGGAAAGTTGCCTGGTGGGTTGGAGCCATTGGATGTAGGAGGCTGCCTGATCCTGCTGCAGGGATGTGGCAACTGGCAGTGTGGAGCTGTCCCAGTGGACCTTCTGCTCCCTCCAGCAGAGCAGAGTTGGGGTGAGCAGCAGGCATGTCCCCATGATCAGAATGCACCTTGGAAAGGTGGGATTTTCCTAGGGTCAGAGGAGAGAAGGCAGCACTCAGTAGCTGAGAATTTGACTCTTTTCCTTCAAGAATAGCTGAGGTACTACAGGTATGTCCATTGTGGATATGGAGGTTTTGTTACCCCCCCAGAATTGAATGTGGCCGTGCAAGAAACATCTTTCTCCATGGGATTACTCCTTTCCTATGAGTATTCCTGAAGTATTGACTCCCCTCTCATTTCTCCTAGGCATATGTGCATGGTAATGCGTGGGGTACAGAAAATGAACAGTAAAACAGTAACCAGCACAATGTTGGGGGTTTTCCGGGAAGATCCAAAGACCCGTGAAGAATTCCTGACACTCATCAGGAGCTGAAACTGTTACTCCCTACCTGCACTCTTGATTGTTCTGTCCCGTGTCACTGTCTGTTCTTGTTCCTACATCTCACTTCTAAACGAAACCCGTGTGAATTGTTGTCATGGTCTTTGTGCAGAAAGAGGCTTCTGATGGCAAATGGAAAAGGTAGGGATGAGGTGGGTTCCTCCTGGATTTCCACTGATGCTGATGTCTCAGAATTATATTTGGAAATGTTTTTCCATCCATAATGCAGAATATCCTGCTGTCAGGATAAAAGCTTGGAGTGAAATGGATGTTTATGAAATAGTTATGGTGATTAGATTGAATGTGGAGCAGCACAGGGAACAACTGAAAGGCTGTGGATCCTTGTAGGATCAGGATTGTCCTGAATTATCTGTTTTATTGCGAGTCCTGCAGTGGCTGTTTCAGTACTGGATATGTGTGTTATACCTCTGAGATGTTAATTCTGGTGTGTTTTATATCTTTATTAGCATTAACCTTTCTTTTTTTTGTGTATTTTTTTGTTTGTTTGAAAAATGTAAACCCCATTTTTCCTATCCTCTTAACATCCAGGGAATTAACTTCTGAATTATTTGGGGCACAGTCTGATCTCAGTACAAAGGGTTTGTGCACCTTTTTCTGTGCCTCAATGTCTGACCACTTGAACTGTCAGTTTCTTACTGTTTTTAAGGTAACTTTAAAGGGGGGAGGGGAAAAAATCCCCAGAATCTGTCTACAAAGTGCTAAGGTATCCAAAGAGGTTTTTAATGATATTTATATCTTGAGTTTTCCTTCTTGGGTTAGACTGAGAAGCCAAAACTAGTCTGATAATCTGAAAATGAAGACTTCAAGCATTTTCAGGATTTGCATCTCATAAATGTTGGACCAAAGGTGAGCACTGAAATCCTGAACACAGCACATCACACCTCTCCTGCCTGCTGGCAGGTCAGGTCATTTCAGGGCAGAGCAACCTGAAGTGACAACAGCTCATTTCATAAGATCAGTTGAGAAAAGCATTTCCTGGGCCATCACAATGAATTAAACCACGTTTTTCTGTGTATGTGGCAACCTCTGCATGAGGCAGTATTGGTACAGAAAGTTTCAGTCAGCTGCACTTGGCTGAACTTCTTCACTTTGTTGCCATGTTAATGAGTGTTTTGTAACTCTTAATTGGGAAAAGATGAGGCACAAATGCAAGCCACAATGCTCACACCAAGTGCAGGAGGCAGAGCTTACACAAGAGATGTCAGTCAGGGTGTTGGATGCCCACAGGTTCCCACAGCTCTGTTGGCTGTCCTGTACACTAACCTAAAAGGCAGTTCCTGGTCTGGCAACATTCCTCTCTCTTGCTTAAACTCATGTTGGAAACAAAATGAAAATCGTGTCTGGTCAGATTGGGCCTAAACAACTTTTTCAAGCTCATGTGGTTAATTACACTAATTTTACCTTGGCCTTCACTATTGGAAATGACCTTCATTATTGGAAAAATCTTTCCTAACATCCTCAGTCCTGGATTCTGTGGGGATCTAGGTGCTATAACAGTGTTTGCTAGTGTAAACAAGCTGTGCTGCACATTTATAAATCACACTAACTCTGTGGCATTAGTTTTCCTTAACTTGCCACTTCTCAGTTCAATATATTTCCGATATCCAGCTGAAAAGCCTTAAATCCTTCTTGCCTGAAGTTCAGAGTAAAACTCTCTCTTCTTAGCTCAGTGACTGGAAGAAGAACTTGAGGACCAAAGGGGCACACCCCGGTACATTTATTTCTCTTTCCTTGCTTTGGTTTGGTATTTGTCTGTAAACCACAGTCTTGCTCCTGAGGTACCAAAAAGGTTGTGTTTTAACCACTTATCTCTCTTTGGGATAAAGTTCGTGTTGCACCACTGCTGTTTTTTATTTCCATGTGACCTGTAGTCCTTAAAACATACCTCTCTCCACTCGTGGCCTTGGATTTTGTTCACATTTTTGTTGTTGTAAGACTCAGTGCATTTTTTGGATCATTAGTGTTGTTCAAATACACAAGTTTTAACTACACCCAGTGTGGACATGTGTGTAGGATGTACAGCCTGCTCTTGTACTGCATATAAGTCCTTTGTCTCTGAAACATTAAAGCACAGTGTTATCCTTTGGAGTGGGAGCATCCTTGGGGACTTGGAGGTGATGGCAGTGCACAAGGAAGTGGCATGAGCTCTGTCTCCTCCAGTGGAGATTGTGTCTGTGCTAGAAGATGAGATGTTGGGTTGCTTCTCTGGGACAGTTGTTGCTGTTATCCCCAGATGAGTTCTCAGCTGTTGATTGCTCAGCCAAAAAACTCCAAGCCAAAAAACCCAAAACACCCATTGGGGTGGGGAAGGTGGGTGGTGGTAGTGGCTGCTGCTTACATTGAGCTCATGTGGGTTTATAGTCCTCTTGTGCCTTCTTGATGCATTCTGGATGCCTCATCACACTGGGCTGAGGAAATCACTGGTTCATGGCCACATGCTCCAATTACCCAAACAAATAAATCCTACCAGCAGGTGTGACACCAGAGACCTTGAAGCTGAAGTCATGGTTGGATCACCCCATCATGCACCACGTGGCGATGAGCTTGGCCTGTGCCAACGGGAGCTGCACAGCTGCTTCGGGCTGGACAGGCTGTCTTAAAGACATTCCTACTGTCCTCCAGCCTCCCAGGATGCAGATATTGCTGAGATTCAGGGAAACAAATATAAAATTTATGGATCCCAGGCTCCTGAGGAGCGTTGCAGTCTAAGTGAAGAGGGAAGGAGGACTGCAGGGGCAGCAGGCAGCTGTGTTCACTGTGGCAGCCAGGACTGGAAAAGGGATAATGAATGCAAGTCCCCTTCAGCCCTTCGTGTCTTTTATTTCCAAATGCTCTGTCCTATGTGGAAATAATCCTCCTGGGAAGCCCCAGGAGCATTGGCAAGACTCATCTCTGTCATGAAACTGAGTTACTTCTGTCTTTCTCACGGTAGTGTATTAAAGCTGGTGACTGTGGTAGGAAACAGCCTGTTTGTGAGAACAGGCACTGCTGCAGGAAATTAGCTATTCCCTGCTCTTCTGTTTTGTTTTTTTTTTTAGGTGTGGGATTGGGAAGGAGCCTCCCTGGTTTTGTCATCATGGGAAAATCTATTTTCATTTGGGTGAAAAAGTATTCAGCTTCAAAGTGTTTACAGTTAAAGAAAAACAATCTAGAAGAACCAAATCTATAAAAGAACCAAAATTGGTTAATAAAGTCACATCCTTCCATCCCTGACCTATCACCTCTTCCAGGATCCCACCTGCCTTATCATGTGCTCCATTCCTTTCCTGACACCTTCCAGTGGTATGTGTTGCTTATCCGTATATTTTGGTCTCAAGAATTCCCGATATGAACAGCTTCTTTGCATTTTTTTTTTTAATCACCATGGGTTGGTTTTGGGCATCTTCCATCATCTCCTGTGAAGTGACTGGTCAGCAAGTCCCAGTGTCATGCCCAACCAGGTCCTTGGCACAGGCTCTTTGGTTGTCACCCCTTCTGTTCCACCTCTAGGTGCAGGTTTATCATGGAATCATTTAGGTTGGAAAAGCTCTCTAAGACCATCGAGTCCAACTGTTATCCCGGCACGGGTAAGCCCACCATGATGCTTTGGTTCAGGCAACTTTCCATAGCTGCAGACCCCAAATAGGCTCTTTCTAGCCAAAAATCTGCCTTCCAGTGACTGAATGGCTGCAGGCAAGGGCTTGGATCATCCCAGAGGCTTCATGCAGCCCTCACAACCTTCCATCAGCTCAGAGTTGCTTAATGAGCTCAAACAGCTCGTTACCTGCCCCCTGGCTCCTGCCCCTGCTCTCTGGAGTGCTGTTGGCATTGGGAAAGAACCTGCAATCAGCTGTGCCCTTTGAGCCTTGGCTTGAGCCCTCCTGCCCAGCTCCTGGAAATCACTTTTAGGAAAAGCTTTGCCTTCCAGTTTTTTTAAAGTTCCACTCATGATTTAGTAGTTGAGGGGATATCAAACATTAAAGCTCTTTAAAGTCTTGGCCTGGGATGGACAGAAAAGAACTCACAGTATTCAAAGAAATTTGGCTAAAATAACTGAAGAATGTAATCATGAAAAATCTATTTGTCTTTTCGTGTTGTGTTTTTGGTGTTGGGGCTTTGCAGGGGCGTTTTTGGCAGTGAACTGTTCCATGTTACCTCTATTTGCTCTGCTGCTCTGCACTGAGATTGCAACAGTAAAGCAAAGGTTAAAAACCCACTGTAAGAGTGACCAACTCAGCTGCACAGGCCTGAAAATGATTTAAGAAGTGCCATGGCAAATCACAGTGGTGCTGCCTTGGCTTGGGATGTGTGAGTGCCACCAAGGGAGCAATTCCTGGGTGGGTGCCACCACCCACCCTCCAACTGTTCCCTGGGAACACCTAACCAAGTGCTACAGGAGGGAGTTCATGGCCCAGCTCTGTCCTGGCTGTGGATGCCTGTACACCCTCTCAGCATCCTATGGGAAGCCATATCTCACTCTACAGCTGGCATTTCTTTAGCTCCCTTGCTCAGAAACACTGGTGGCAGCTGTGCAGTGACCTGCTGCTCCAGCCAGGACACACTGCAGTGTATTGATGTGTAAGAGAATGGCAAAATCTCAGGATTTAGCCACCGGAGCAGCTCCTCAGGGAAGTGGTCACTGCCCAAAGGCTGCCAGAGCTCAAGGAGCATCTGGACAATGCTCTCAGGCACAGGGTGGATTGTTGGGGTGTCCTGTGCAAGACAGGAGTTGGACTCTGATCCTTGTGGATCCCTTCCCACTCAGGATATTCTGTGGTTCTGTGATCTCCATTTGGTTTTGAAGGCTGTAGGATGACAGCCCTTGGATATGGGGCCATGAATGAGCACAGCCTGGTAGGTGTCAGCCCTAGGCAAGCTGCACCTGAGCTCTGTGCTCACCTTCTCCAGCCTCCAGCATCGCTCACCACCGCGGGAGATCTGGGAGAGAAGTTGGTCTTGGTGCTGGAGGAGAGAAAGAGGAGGATGGGAAAGGTTTTGTAGGGAAGCAGCAGCAGTGGGAGGCAGGGAGGGATAGCTGCCAGGGAGTTGCAAAGGCCCTGGGTCCTGCTGGGTGATGCCCGAGGTCAGAGATGTGGAGCTCCAGCCAGGCTGGCCCGAGCCCGTGCCCAGCAC